AGCTGGGTGAGGCTGGCTGGGGGCCTGGGCCACGCCTGCCATCTGGGCCTCCTTCCTGCCTTCCCTCAGGGCAGTGGGGGTGTGGACCAAGCCAGGGCTAGACTCCAGCCTGGAGGAGGGGAGTGCCAGTCTGCTGGCTCCTGTGTGTTAATTCTATCCCCTGCCCTTTCTCATCCAGGTCTCATACAAGAGAGGAGGGGACTCACAGTCCCAGGTCCCGTTAGCCCACTTGGTCAGAGGGCAACTTTCAGGAATTGGTTCTCTCCTTTCATTGCGTGGGTACCAGGAACCTAATTCAAGTCCCCAGGCTCGGCTGCAGGCACTTCTTCTGCCTGCTCTGGATCTTCCCTCTCTTTGCACGGCCTTCCCCACAAGGATCCTCCTTCAGGACTTCTACCATCCAAAATCCTGTCTGCTCACATACAAGCCCTGGTCTCCAGACACTGATCCTTCATGCAGCTTAAACCCCAAAAGCGAAGCTACTCAAGTCCTCCATGGGAGCAACCAGTGTGATCAGTGTTTTCCCCAAGATTTACACACACACGCGAAAGAGAAAGTCACATACAGGGACACAGGCACATATTGAGTTTTCTACTTCTAGAAACTCAACTCAAATTTTTGCATGTATGGGCTGACAAGAAGGCTCAGCAGTTAAAGGGGCTTTTCTCCCAAACCTGACAACTTGAATTCAACCCCTGGAACCCAGATGGTAGAAGGAGAGAAATGTGATTCCTGGGAGCTGTCCTCTGACCTCACACCATGGCATGGATGCCCACACCACTCAAAGTAAACAAATAAATAAGTTGGGGGGGTGTAAGATTCTTTTTAACTTCATGTGCTCAGTGTGAATTCTAGTTCATGTTTGGAATTTTGTTCGCAGTTGCACACAGCACTCCCTGGTGAAACAGGTCAACAGCTGCAGCAGCCTGCACCATGTGACCACCCAGGAGACTGAAGTGTAGCATGCAGCAGAGCATCTTACATGTACGGCTTACGCTGGGTTTATTAGGATATAAGGCAGCCTGGTGTGAAGGAGCTTCTGCACATGGATACCCTCTTTACATAGACATCTTGTCCTCTCTGCGTCTTGCCTTCTTTCTAGATTGTATGCCTTGGACATCACCGAATAGCAATAGCTTCCCCTTCTGTTTCCTCCGAGTGGGAGACTCCCTTGTCTGCATGTATGTCATGTGCCAGCCACACTTGCATACTGATGGGCGATGGCATGCTTTTGCCAGTCTTTGCCATCATGGCGTGCCAGAGAATAATCGTGGGCATGCTCCTTCTGCAGGTACAGAGATGGATGTGGAAACTAGATCTTTTTTCTCTTTTTAGATTTACTTATTGCACGTGTGTCTGTGCACCACAGATGTGCCTGGTGCCTGCAGAGGTCAAAAGAAGGCTGTGGATACTTTGGGACTTGAGACAGTTGTGAGCTGCCATGTGAGTGCTGGGAATTGAACCCAGGTCCTCTGTAAGAGCAAGGACTCTTAACAGCGGAGACATCTCTCCAGCCTGAGACTAAATCTTTACTGTTGTGCTGATAGTGCCAGGAATATGTGCTTTCTCCCAGGAAACACACAGAAAACAATATATTTCTAACACTGTAGTAAGCAAAGAAAGATTTATTTATTGATTGATTGATTGATTGATTGATTGATTGATTTAGGCAGGGTCTCTCTATGTAGCCCTTGCTGTCCTGAAGCATGTTGGCCTGGAACTCACAGGGATCCACCTGCCTCTGCCTCCCAAGTGCCGGGATTCAAGGCATGCACCACCACTGCCTGGCTCCTTTTATTCTCTTGAGATAGAGTCTCTCAGTAAATCTGGAACTTGCATATGGCCACATCTGGCTTTTTCCATGGGTTCTGGGGATTTGAACTTAGGTCCTCATACTCTTAGCCACTGAACCATCCCCAGTCCCATGTAAGTCTTACATATTCCTTGTTCCCTGCATTTGCCATGTTGCTGTCTTTCATTGGTCTATCTACTCACTCATGACTGCATCCTTGAAAGCCATGGGTAGAAATACACTAATGTTATCATGTCACCGGATTTACCAATTGTTTATAATGATTTTCTGTGGTTTCCTTCAAGTTTTCAAGGGATACAGGCATTTGCAGGTAGGGACAGCTCTGCTTCTTCTCATAACTTTTGTTATCTTTTTCTTTTCTAATTGCACTGACCGGCACCTCCAGCAAAGTCTTGCACTACGGGTGATGACCTGTTCCCAACTTTGATCCCAATACTTTATCTACCCTTTAGGCAGTTGGGTGAGAAAAATTGATTTGCATCCCAACATTTTCCCATCGACATTTCAAGCACACTGCAAGATCTGAGGGATTTTATAGTAAGCATCATCTAAATCCGACCATGAACAACTTTCTGTACTTGGCAGTGCTAGACAGCTGTGTGTTCAAAGTGAGGCACAATCTTTTTTCAATAATTATTATTAAACGTGTTTACTTACTTGCATGAGTTAGTGTGACTGTGTGTGTCGCTGTATGCATGAAGAGGTCAGAGGACAGCGTGTGGGAGCCCGTTCTCTCATACCCTACATGGATGAACCTTCACCTGTGTCATCTCACCTTCCCAGAGGGAGGATCTTCAAGACAGAACGTTTTCTTAAGGACATTTCCTATGGTGGCCACAAGACCTGGCCCACTATGACTCATCAGGTTATGGTGTCAGAAGTAGAGGAGAGCCTGGATTTAGGACAAGATGGGGTGACAGGAGATGAAGGAGCCGTCCCCCTTCCTGAAGTATTCTAAGCTTCTGCACAGCTTGAGGGGGAAGGGAGGGGAGGAGGTGGGAGGATATTCCAGAAGATCAGCTCTCTCCTGGCAACTGGTGGGAACTTCCTTTGCTTAGTTCGCGTCCCTTCCTCAGTTCCTCCCCAGTGGATTCTCTTGGCAGAATCCCAAAGGCAGAGAAGTGGCCTGAGAAGGTCCGTCTAGCTTCCCTGAGTGAACTCCAGATGGCTTGTGAGGAAAGGGAGGGTGCAGGCCTGGAGGGAGGGTGCTAGTGTTGGAGGATAATGGGGACACAGACAAGCTCTGTGCCTCTCCCGGCCTGTGATGGACAAGGGCCTCACAGTTGTTCTCACCTCTTGACACTGAGACTCAATGTGGTCATCTAAAGAAGTGCACGTTTGGGGGCTGGAGAGATGGCTCAGAGGTTAAGAGCATTGCCTACTCTTCCAAAGGTCCTGAGTTCAATTCCCAGCAACCGCATGGTGGCTCACAACCATCGGTAATGGGGTCTGGTGCCCTCTTCTGGCATGCAGGCATACACATAGACAGAATATTGTATACATAATAAATAAATATTTTTTTTAAAAAAAAGTACATGTTCAAGAGTTGTCCGGTTGAGTTGCATAAAAATTAAATCACGAAAGATACCTTCATAATGTTTTGCCTGCATTCAAAGTCATTCTTGGCTCCCTGGCAGACATACCTGATAGACCACTGCAATTATCCTGAGTAAAATTACTCAGAAAAGTTAGTAAAGAAAGCACAGTGCTGGGGAGATGACTCTGTGAGTAAAAGGTTTGGGGTGCAAGCATTGGGACCTGGGTTCCAATCACCAGCACCTGCATAAAAAAGCCAGGTATAGCCATGGTCACCTATAACCCTGGCACCTGCACTCTGAGGGCTGGAGACAGCATTGCTAGGACTTGCTGTCTGCCAACCTAGATCCAGGTCAGTGAGAGACCCTGTCTCATGGGGATAAATGGAGAGTGATAGAGGAGGATACCGGACATCCTCTTCTGGCCTCCATGTGTGCATCATCACATGCATGTGTACATATAACGCGCATGCACACACACACACACACACACACATCCACTAAATGCACTTACACACAATATAATTGCAATTATACAATAAATACAATAAATACAATTGCTCATATACACACAATATAAGTAGGTAGATGGATGGATGACTGGAGAGACGGGGAAGATGATTGATAGATAGGTATGTAGATGGATGGGTAGATGGATAGGTGGATGAATGGATAAGAACACACATGGATTTTAGTCAGGATGTGGGTTTGGTGGTCATGCTGCCAGAAGCTACAGCATCACTATAGCTAAACTGGTGACTCTCAACCCTTGCTCCCCAGGGGAAATGATGGGTCTCTGCTGGGGCAAACACTGCCCTTGTTGGGGGAGTCTTGCTTGGCTCCCTGTCCCCAGCATAGCCCACACAAACAGCCCTTTTCAGGGTCACTCATTATTGTGAAGTCCCCAAGGCTCCCTACTTCTAGACCAAGCCCCTTTTGGCTTCAACTCCTGCCTCTCTTGTCCTGGGCTCCAGCCCAGAGACTGAGCTCTCCTGGGCTACCCCGCTTCCACGTCCTCCCCTGCCTTTTCCGGGCCAACTTGCTGTTAGGTATAATCTTAAGAGGAGCCTCTCTGCTGACACAAAATAACTTCAATCAGACCAGATTAGACCAAATCAAAGATGCCCATGTTTAATAAATGCAGCACTCCTGGGTAATTGGGAGCATGGCAGGGGACAGAGAGGGAGAGACCATGTAAAAACTGTGACCACATGTTCTTTTTTCCTGCCTGAGCCTAAATAGCCTGTGAGAGTGGTCCTGACCCAGGGGTTACCATTTGATGGCCTTTCCCAGAGGTGGAGTCTGGACCAAGGCAACTCCCAGGGGGAGGGGGCTGAAATGGAGCAGTTTGCTTCATTGACACTCCATTGGTGACCCAAGGATGACTGCCAGGGGTTGGGGTGACACTTTCAATCATACATCTCAGACTCCTTATATATAATGGTGTTAGAGGGCTGGGGTTTTACTTTCAATCAAACATCCCAGAGTCCTTGAATATAGGGGCATCAGTTCAAGTCTGGCTACTTCCTGTGGGCATGGGGTGATGTGGGAGAGGGGAGAGCTGGGTGTTGGTGCGCTCACACTCAGCGAGAGGTGTGGCTGGAGTGGCATCCGGTTTGCTGTCATCCTGGAGTCCTCAGGCAGCTGTTTTTTGAGGGAGATGAGAAGGCAGGTGGCTGGGAGAAAAAGTATATTGTTATTATTGGCCCTATGAAATGGGGCTAGCCATGTAATGGGACACAATAGTAGATAAAACCAGATTTTAGTTGGCAGGTGTCCTTGATCCAGGAGAGTTGGTACTCATGGTGAAGTCCCAGGAAGATGTTGGCATTGTCTGAAGACTGCTTTGTAAGTTGGTCTTGGCCCAGGCAGCAGGAGTGACCTGTAAAATATGTTTGAAACTGGCTGGGGTTAAAATAGGCTCTGGAGACAGTTAGTCTTTTACCAGACCTGATTTTTGATACAGCAATAGAACTTTTCCAGGAACCTGTGTAGTATCTGTAAGAGAACTGGAACAGATTTATATCTTGGTGTCATAGCAAAAGGCTATTGCTTTTAGGATACTCCTGAAACCTAATAATCCTTAACTATGAAGCCTGTTAAAGAGGCACGCCTGTCTGTATTTTAGCAGGAAACTTCATTAAATGTCATGGATGAAGTAATAAGTTAACAGTACCTTAAATTATCGAATGCCATTAGACAGATCTGAGAGGGATAAATGAGCAAAAATGAGACAGCTTTTTTGGCTACACAGACAATTGTGGGAGGGGACTTGAATAGAGCATTCTGCTCCATTGGCCCAGGAACTGGGGTGATGCTTCCAATCATCCCAGACTCCTTAGATAGAGGGGTGTTAGAGGGCTGGGGTCTCACTTTTGACCAAACCTCCAGGAAAGCCCACCAAACACTAGCCCCTCCCTAGGGAAGGTCAGGACCACTCCCACAGGCTATTTAGGCTCTCTGCGGAAAAAGAAACACGTGGTCGCGGGTTTTACGTGGTCTCTCCCTCGCTGTGCTCCCGACCACCTGGGAGCACTGCATTTATTAAATGTGGGCATCTTTGATTTGGTCTAATCAAATGTGAAATTATTATTATTATCTAATCTATGTGAAATTATTCGCATAGGTGGAGAGGTTTCTCTTAAGGATTATTTCTAACACTTGTTTCTTCCCATTGTGTCCCCTTCACGTCAGGAATGTTGAGCTCTGCCTACCCCACCCTTGTCCTGCTATGCTCAGTCCCACTGAGCCAAAGATTCTAATTCTTTGAGGCTGGCTCTACACCAGGCCATCTTTCCTCCCCACTAGCCAGGCTGGGCTGGGATCCCAGGCAGAATCCTGGTGGAAGGAGACCTTTAGTGGCTTAGTGTGCTGAGGACTCCTGACTGTAGTCTAGGTCTGCCTGGTGGTAGGGGTTTAGATTTCAAACCCCAGGTCAGTGAGGAGATCAGCAAGCTTTAGGAGCGAGGTGGGTTTTCCTGAAGATCCTACTCCACACACAAGCGCTCCTCGTGGACAAACAGCCTCTTTGGGGGTTGGCAACTTGAAGTCTGGAAGCCAAGTTTGCGCTGGGCTTGCCTCCTTGCTCCCTCTCAGCCTCATTGTGCCTCATCTGTGGCATGGGAACATGCACTGGAGACAGCTGGTAAAAGAACACAGGAGCTGGGTTTGGGCTGTGCAGAAAGAAGAAGCTGTCAGAATGGAAATGAGGGACGACAAAGCAGTAAATAGCATATGTGGACATAAAGGACATTGGTGGTTAGAGCCAAAGCCTTAGCTTCCTTTGTGTGTGTGTGTGTGTGTGTGTGTGTGTGTGTATGTACATGTGTGTGCGTGTGCATGTGCAAGTGTGTATATGTACATGTGTGTGCGTGTGTATGTGCAAGTGTGTATATGTCCATGTGTATGCTCATGTGTGTGTGCATGTGTGTCTAAGTGGGTGTGTGTTTGTGAGCCATAAATTAACATCTAGCATGCCCCCCTTATTTACTAAATGAATATGGGGCTCCCCAGTTCAGGTAAACTGGCTGGACATTAGGCTCTGGGGATCCACCTGTCTCCACCTCCAAGAGCTAGGATTACAGGTGGGTTCTTCCTGGATTTTTTTGTGTGTTCTGGGGGATTGAATTCAAGTCATAATGCTTGGATAGCAAGCACATTACTGACTGAGCCCTCTCTTCAATCCCATCTCTCCTCTTCTGTCTGTCTGAGGCTGGGTCTCACTGTGTAGCCCTGCCTGACTTTAAGTATACTGATTTTCCTGCCTCTGCCTCCGAGTGCCAGGGTTACAGATGTGCACCACCAGGAGTGGCTAGCTGGTCTTATTTACATACCAGAAGCCACTAAATCCTACCTTGCAGCGCTTTGGGGGATGACCAGCATGCACCTGTTGAGGATTCTCATGGGCTCAGGGCTGGTGAAGTCTGGATGACTCTCCCCAGATATCCACAATGACCCTAACAAGGGCTCCTATTTCATAGGTGAGAAAACCCAGGCACTGAGACTTGGGCCACTTATCCAAAGCCACCCAGCCAGAAAGTGACAAGGCCAGAATAGAATGGGAGATGTGAGCCAGCTAGCGTACACAGTACCTGGCGCTCAGTGTGCTCCCATCTGAGAGATGGCCTGGGCCATCTGCCGCTCCCAGTGTCCATCTGCAGACACAGGTCTGGCGGTAGGGAGAGGCCAGGGAACTCCAAGAGATCAGAGAACCTTCTGGATCTTGGCAAGTCCGTCAAGAGCTAAACAAGGAAGAAGACATACGCTGTGACTGTTTCCAACCATAATGAGCCGCCCGAAACCCCCCCCCCCCCCCCCCCCCCGGGGCTAGGAGGCGAGTGGATCAGGGAGGCCTCCAGATACTTGCAATGCAAAGGTGCCAGGCATGCAGCAGCATGAGCAAGAATGTCTTAGGAAGAGAGGCATGAACCGAGGCAGGAATTGAGAAAGTGCCATAGAATTGGAGCCCCAAGGGTGAGCATGCGCAGTGAGTGCATGGGGCAGGCAGCAGTTAGAGTTGCGAAGGCTTTGGGTTTTCTTTTAGGAGCTATGAGAAGTCACTGGAGGGTTTCAAGTTCAAGTCGGCTTCTTGTTACTTGAGCTAAACAATTAAAACCATGTAATAAATAATACATCTCTCGGATCTTGAGGTGGGTCTGCCTGTGCCTTGGTGGACCCTCAGCTGAGGTGAAAGTAGTCCAAGGCCTTTGTCTCTCAAATCTTACCTGAGTCGGGTTTTGTTGTTGAGAATGAGAATAGTCCAGCCTGGCCCAGGGCTTCATGAGTGCAAAGGAGCTATGCCGTACCTCAGTGTGATAGGGGCCTCTTTGCTTCCCTGAAAATGGTCAAGTTCCTAATGGGGAACCACATGCACCCCTCTGGCCCAGGAAGGTTCAGAAATAGGTAGGAGGCAGGAGTGTGGTGGGCCTATTGAAGAGGGGAGACACAGAGCTATCCCCTCTGAGAGAAAAGCAGTACTTTGCATAAACACACGCTGGGCCACAGCCACCAACAAGGTGACTCCATCTCTGTGACTGACTTGACCCTGGCCCTCGTCTCTTGAAGAGCAGCGTGTGAGGCTGCCTCTAGGTTAGCTGTCATGTGTGCCTCCGAACTTGAAGAAGAAACCCGTTTCCTGGAGAGAGCATTCTTAGGGCAGGTTTGGGCTCATCGGAGAAATCCCTGAGAGTTTCCAGGTAATAAAGACTTTGTTTAGAGCCACCAAGAGAGTTCAGCAGGTAAAGGCTGCCTCCCTGCCACCAAGCCTGACAAGCTTGAGTTTGATTCTTGGGACTCACAAAGTAGAAGAGAAGACCCCACCCTGAAAAACTGTGTCGAGCCTCTGACTTGGAAAGGGTTGAGTGGCCTCTTGTCTGAAACCTAGAGCCGCGCAGCCGTCGCCCTCTGCTGGTGAAGTTGCAATAGTACAGCATCCTTGTTAAAACTGTGCCCCTGCCTGGTAAGGACCCCTATGTGTCACCTGTAATGGGTGAATGACACCAGTACTTGCCTCTAGGTATTGAATGCATGCCCTCTGTCAAATCAGGGGGACAATCTCGCCTCTCCTGTGACCAGCTGCTGCAGACTGTCAGTCCTGCTAGTACCCACCTGGGGAGTAATAGCAGCATGTAGAAGGCAGAGAAAGGAGAATCTCATGTTCAAGACCAGCCTGGGAGAGAGGAACTGAGGAGATAGCTCAGGAGATCAATTACTTGCTGTATAACTACAAGGATCCGAGTTCGGTTCCACAGCATCCGTGTAAAGCTAGAGGTAACAGCGTATCTGTAAGCCCAGTGCCCCTACAGCAGGCAGGAGAATCCCTAGATACCTGCAGGGTGGGCTAGCCTGGACACCTGCAGGTGGGCTAGCCTGGACACCTGCATGTGGGCTAGCCTGGACACCTGTAGGTGGGCTAGCCTGGACACCTGCAGATGGGCTAGCCTGACTTTCACACTGAAGAACAAGAAGGGGCTGGAAAGATGCCTCAGTGGGAAAGATGGACAGTTGGCCCAATGATTAAGAACACTTGCTGCTTCTGTGAAGGATCCGATTTTGGTCCCTGACACCCAGGTCGGGCAAATCACAACCACTCTTATCTCCAACTCCTGGGCATCTGACGCCCTCTTCTGGCCTCCACAGGCCCACACAGACACATAAAAATAAATCTTAACAAACAAAAGCACTAGGTATTGTGGTATGCGCTCTTAAAGCAGGCATGTCTGCGTGAGTTCCAGGCCAGCCAGAGTTATGTAGTGTCGTGATTTGAATAAGATGACCCAAAAAGGTCTTGAACATTTAAATCATTTGGTCTGCAGTTGGTGGTTGTTTCGGGAGGATTCGGAGATGCGGTTTTGCTAGAGGAAGGAGGTCACTGAGGGCAGGCTTGAGGCTTTAAAGGACTCTTGACCTTTGCCATTCTCTCTGAACCCTGCTTTCAAAAGACATGGGCTCTCTCAACTGTTCCAACCACGAGACTTGGCTCCATCCCCATGGACGCTAATTCTGAAGCTATAAGCCCAATTAAATGCCTTCTTTTTTAAGTTGCCTTGGTCATGGTGCTTTATCACAGCAATAGAAACAAACCTAATGCACGTACACAGTAAGACTTTGTCTCAAAAACAACAACAAACAAACCAATAAAAAAGATCCCCCCACCTCACCCCCACCCCTCCCACCCCCATCCCAAATAACAGGGAAGGTGAAGACCTCTGACCTCCACACGTGCACTCTGGCACGTAGGCGCTGTCACTCAAGATGGCTCCTCCCCATTGTGCCTCCTTAGCAACCTCTAAGTGTGGAGCAGCTAGGCAGAGCACTAAAGAATGCGCTGAAAGAAATGAATCTGCTCTCAGCCGACTGGAGTCCCTTTTACAAAGCAGCGGGGTTAGGAACAAGGGCGATCTCGCCCCTCCCATTTATTCTAGCCTGCCCCGGGGGTGGAGTGCAGCGACTCTCCGCTCTCTGAGCCGTGCTGTAATTGGGAAATAGAGCAGAAGGTTCTGTTGAGAAGGCAGCCATCCTGACGGAATGCTGCTAATCCAGCAGGGCCTGGGGAATTTGTAGCCCTCCCCCTGCAGTGTGCTCTGAAGGCCCCTTGTAGTCACTCCTTCTAGATTGTCAGCCAATCTTGGACCTTTGTAACTTGAACAAACCTAGGCTGCTTCCCCTTCCTGGGGAGGCCACGAGATCTCCTTCACTTCTTCAAGCTCCTCCCCGACAGCGCTGGGTATCCTGAGATCAGGAAGGACTGGGAACTAAGAGGAAGTGAAGTTACAGGTTCTAGGTTTAGCTCTGTCATTTACTTACAGGGTGGCCTCGAGCAGGTCCCCTCACCCTTTGGAGCCTCAGGTCTCCTATCCCTAAAGTTAGGGAGATGACTCCTCCCGCAAGAGGTGTGAGACTTCAATAAGATGTGTATTCACAAGCTTGTTTGTAAACCTTAAATGCAAGATGGCTAGTGTACTAGTACAGAATTCTAATCCCCAAACATCTGGACTTTGAATTCTGCCTCTCTCCTGTCACCTTGGACCAGTCACATATAAAACAGGTAAGAGGCTAGAGAAACCGCTTGGCACTTCACAGAGCGGAGCTCCTGCAGGGGATGGAGTTTGCTTTTCAGCATCTACATCAGGTGACTCCCAATGGCCTGTGACTCCAGCTCCTGGGAATCTGATGTCCTCTTCTGGCCTCTGTGGGCACCTGCACTAATGACACTGATCTCTCTCTCTCTCTCTCTCTCTCTCTCTCTCTCTCTCTCACACACACACACACACACACACACACACACACACACAAATAGAAAGAAAATAAACTTAAATAAATAAAATAGGGATAGTAGCGGATTAAGGCTCAGAGAGTCCTAACACATATTAGATGCTCTGGGAATACCAGCTGGTATGGCTTATTCTGGAAGAGAGAACTTCCTCCAGTATGCTCCCTGCTATATACAAGGCTCCATGGGAAGTGCTGGGGGCCCGCAGTGACAAAAATAGGGTGGAGGGAAGAAAGAAAAAGAGAGAGAGAGAGAGAGAAGGGAAGAAAAAGTTCAGCCTTTCTGGGGCCTACAGTTGAATGGATTGCGGGGGAGGGGGACATAGAATAAAGTAAGGCACTCACAGAGCCTAAGAGAAGAGAAATAAGGCTAGGAGGAGAAATAATTAGGGATAAGCGCAAGGGTGTGGGAGGGGATTAAAACTTTGAATAGGATGAAGGGAACCTGATTGGCTCAGTTTAAATTAAATATTCATCCTGATCCAGTCAGCTGTGGTGTATGGGTGAGAGAGTAGAAGACAAGAGATCAAGAGATATGATTGGCTCAGCTTTAATTAGATGCTCGCTCTGGTCCAATTTGGTTGGTGCCTACGTACATGTGTGAGCATGCTGAGGGTGGTCCAGACTTACAGGCTGAACACAGCTGCTAGTCTCAGCATCTAGCTTGGGGAGCAAAGCTGGGGCTGAACCAGTGCCCCCCCCCAGCCCTCTCCCTCCTCCTCCTCTGCTCCCTTTCCACCTTCACCCGCAGTCCCCAGGACACAGACTAAAGGCAGTTCTGAGGTAGGAGGGTAAGGGTTAGCTCCAGTAGCTGGGACAGCCTCATTCAGGAGCCCTGCCGTGCGGCTGCCTCCAGTCTGCCTACTTCTAGTTGACTCCGCTGTTACTGGCTATACTCCACCCATCAGAGACAGGGCTGGAATCTATCACTCCAGTGCCTGCGGCTGGCTCTGAGTAGGTCAATACATAGGAACCCTGGAGATGGGTTTCGATTGCTCCTGCCCTGAGACCCACAGACAGTAGGCATGGAGGTGGCCCAGGACATTTTATCTGTCTGTATCGGCAGGACCATGACTTGGCAGGCCTCCCGTCTGTCCTCACATCCTCTCTCCCTGAACCCTGTGAGCCTGAACAGAGATCACAGCTGAGAATGACAACCTCAGAAGTCACCCAGCGCCCAGCCTTTCTTCAGACAGTGCAGAGGCAACTCAGGCCTCAGCAGAAGCAGAGGCCCTGGGGCTGCCAGGAAAGGTGCAGAGGCCAGATTCCAGAGCTCCAGGGATTTGCCTGGAGAGCCAAAACTTGTTTGGGGAATGGAGACATAGCTCAGCCCATAGAAAAACTTCTTCCCAAGCACAGAGCCCTGGGGTCAACACCCAGTACCACATAAACACTGGGTGAGGTGGTGCACACCTCTATAGAATCCCCAAGGTGGCCACCAGCACTTGGGGCAGGGGTTAAGGCGGCTGAAGAATGAAAGTATCCTCTAAATCAGGAAGTGGGGGATTCCTGACTCCCCATGTCTCATAAAGGTGGCCATGTAGTCCACAGATGTTGCTGGGTACAGTGCATGGGGAAAGTCATCATTACAGCAGGACCCACATAGGGTCTGTGCAGATTAGTTTAGAAGCCAGAGGGAGTGCTGAAGAGGGTGAGTGAGGGCTTGCTGCCAAGTCTGAAGACCTGAGTTCGAGCCCCGGAACAAACTTGATGGAAGGAAAAAAAACTGACTCCTGAAAGTTGTCTTTTGATATCTACATGTGCACCCTATGCTCACTACAGAAAATATTTATATGCATACATATACATATATGTCAACTAAAGTTCTCTTGAGGGTGGAATGGCCCAGGAAGAAAGGAAGGAAGGAAGGAAGGAAGGAAGGAAGGAAGGAAGGAAGGAAGGAAGGAAGGAAAGGCTGATGTTCAGCCTTGGTGGGGATTAACTCAACAAGACTCTGGGGAGGAAAAGGCCTCTGTGGGACTTAGTGATGGCTCAGAAGCTAACGGCCATCAGAGCTCTCTGGACCCCATGTTGCTAGGTTGACACCGAAACTCCATCTCATTCACCCACTTAGGTCTCCTGCCCATGACTCTCTGAATATTAGGTTTGGACAGGACTCGTGAGTGAATAGGAATGCCTGCCAGGGAGGCAGAAAGACCAGAGTGGCAATTTCACCCGGTCCAATTGCCCTTTCTCTAAACCTTCACTTTTCACTCTGAGACCAAAAAGGCAAAAATTCAAGTAGTGATAACAGCCATGGCGCCACAAGGGTGAGACGAAGGGTCCTTGTCACCTGCTGCTGTTGTCCAAACTGTGACCGTGGCTTGGTAATGCTCGTGAGTGTCAAGGGGGTTACCCAACAACTACACTAGAAGAGCCGAGGGGTGGGACAGGAAGGGCTTCCGGCCACCAGCTCCTCTTCTCTGCTTTTCCTGGCTCTGATGAGCTGTGGAAGAAGAGATCTATAGTCCGGCAATAACACAGAAGGCCTGGTAGGCCCTCTAAGATGCTCTCTGAGACACCTCTGTACCCTGGATACCAGACCTCACCTAAGACTGATCTAGGGTGTGGTTCTTCTATCTGGGGTCATCTGTGCAGCATCTCTCTTTAGGCCTCTCCCCCAGGAAGGCTTCCTCTGGAGCAGGCACGGTGTCCAGGAAAAAGCCAGGGTGACTAAGGCCTGTGCCTCTTTTTCAAGTTTCTGTTGATGTAATAGAAACACCATGACCAAGAACAGTTTGGAAAGGAAAGGGTTATTTCATCTTACAACCCCCAGGTCAGGTCTCTGAGGGAAGGCAGGGCAGGAACTGAAGCAGAGGCCTTGGAGGAATGCTGCTATTGGCTTGCTTCCCCTGGCTTACTCAGCCTGCATTCTTATTCACCCAGAACCACCTGCCCAAGGGTGGCACCACCAGCAGTTCTGCGCCCTCCCACATCGATCACTAATTAAGAAAATGCCCCGTAGGCCAGTCTGGAGATGGCATTTTCTCAGTTGAGCTTCCCTCTTCCCAGATGGGCCCTATCTCCAGCTTCCATGCCTTCCTGTGGAGCACGGGTCTACGGGTCAATGGCTGGGCCCCCGGTTTCCTTCTCTGTCTCTTGCCTAAACCAGAAAGTGCCTTTCTCCTCACTGCAGTTCAAGCAAAACAAAGGCTTCACCACCAGACCTGCGAGCCTCCAGGTGTTTGCAGCCACGTCTTAAATATTCCCAGCAGCTGCAGTGTTCCATGTACCACAGTCCACTCCGTGGTAGAGACTTGGCGCTGGGGTTAGAATGTTGGCATCTTGCCTTCCTCCCCTGTCTTCCCACCCCCATCACACCTAAGGCATTGAATGCCGGAAGAGTATGGTTTCGTCAGCTCAGGGCACGAGACTCTTCATAGACACCTTATTCCCCTGAGAGCAAGTCCCAGGCGGGGTCTGGTAACAGTGCCGCCCGCTCTGTGGTGTTGTATAACCTTGAATAAGGTGCTTGGTTGTTGGCTCTGAGCTCTGGTTTCTCTCATCTGTTACACTGAGAGGTGTGCCCACACGCCTCAGCTGCCCACGTATCCTGCTGGAGAACACGGTACAGAGGACCCTTCCTGGAGATTAGCTCAGCTCCGCCGGGTGCATGGAGGGGCCTCCGGGTAGGCTGGCTGTTGCAGACCTTAGCCGCCTGTCTGCCTACTCCTGGAGAAGAACGACTTGGAAATGGCTAGCTAAAAGGATGGGGAGGGAACCTCAATGGCGTCGGATGTTGATGTCAGGCAAGGCCTGCTCGTGGGGTTAATGGCTCCTGCCCTCCCTTAGACCCCTGGGTCCTCCGAGGATACTGGTAACATGGAATGCTTCTGGGCGCTCCACCAGGCCATTCCTCCTGCATAGGATGATCCGTGGCGCTCACTGCTTAATAAAACCCAGACTGTTTCACAAGGCCAAAGTCCCTCAGCCGTCTGAGCCAGGCCTTCCTCTCTGGTCTGGGCCTTTTCCCTATTTTCAGCTCTTCAAAGCAGATCCAGACATCTATGGGTATGGGGCCTCCTGCAGCTTAGGTATCCCTCTGCCTCCCTCTTTAGATCTTGCTTGTCCTCAATCTCCCGGCCCCCGGC